ACAAAATGAAGAAACAATGGAAAGCTGCTTGTATCACTCCCCTCCTTCTTGCAGGGCACTCTACCAGACATTTTATGCACATTGCCTCAATTGATCAAGGAGTCCTTGGGTGGTGCATATTGTTAAGCACTCCAATACTAGGTGAAAAACTTGACATTTTGAATTTACCCAGAGGCACCTTGGAAGATAGGCCGGGTAATCTGCCTTTGAAAGGTCGTAGCACTGAATGCCCTATGGAGCAGTTCCACTCCGCACACACCAGTTGCCATAAATAGCCATGAATTGGAATTGACTGGAAGGCGACTAGCAACAACAACCACCTGGATCAGTTAACAAGTCTATACATCAATGAATAGACAGACAGGGTCAGGACAAGGAGATTTCACAGACTGTGTGTGACGCTGTGGGGTAAAACATTGCACCACCAGGTTGGTCTGAACCACAATGTCAGTGGCTGAAACTCACCAGCTGCTCTTTGGAAACACTATAGAGGGTCACTATGAGTCAGGAATGACTCAACAGCATTCAACAACAATGTATTAATTGGGTCTTTCTCTGGAGACTGAAAAAGAATCAGATTCATAGAAAATGACTCTGGGCACATCTCCAGGACAACAAAATCCCTCAGAAAGAGGGCTGCAAAGAAGACTGACATGAATCTCATATTAAGTGTCTGCCCTGGTGCCACTGGTTATTGTCTTAGGATTTTCTGGAGAAGGAGAACCACTGATAAATAAGCTTAAAAAAAAAAAAAAAAGATTTGTAAAGAGAGAGATGGAGATTGGTTGTGTTATTTTAAGGAATTGGCTAATACAATTGTGAGTAGCTGTTAAGTCCAAAATTTGTAGGTCAGAAGACAGGCTGGAGACTACTGCAGGCTTGTGTCACAAGATCTGCAGGCCAAGTAATAGGAAGAAGTAAGGATCAGGGAGTTCTGAATAAATGTCTATTTATAATCTGGAGGCAGAACTAACCCTACGGCAACTTCTTTTTGTACTTTAGGGAGGTCCTCAACTGACTAGTTGAGACCCACCCACATATGGAAAATGCAGTTTACTTTACATAAGGTCAACTGATTTTATCACAAGTGATGTGGTGTTGTGGATTAACACACTGGACTCCAAAGTTGGAATGAACCGCTGACCTTGTGGTTCAAGCTCACCAGCCACTCCACAGAAACACTATACAGGGTAGCTATGGGTTGGAACCCACTCCAAGGCACTTAACAAAAACAGCAACAAATAATTCATTGGAATCCCTGGGTGGTGCAAATGATTAACATCTTGAAATAAATATCTGGTGATCTACTTCCAAAAGAATGTTGTTGGTGCCTTTGAGTGAGACACTGTCCAGGCCTGCATTGATTGTCCTTACAATTGAGCTCATTGTTGCAACTATTGTATCAAGCCATCTCATTGAGTGGCTTTCTCTTTTTCATTGTCCCTGTACTTCATTAAGTATGATGCCCTTCTACAGGGACTTGTCCCTCCTGACAATATGTCCAAAGTACATGTGATGAAGTCTTGCCATCCTCAGTTCCAAGAAGCACACTGATTGTACTTCCCCCAAAGACACATGTGTTTGTTCTTCTGACACCCCATGGTACTTTCAGTATTCTTCACCAAAATCATAATTCAAATGCATGCATTCTTTACCAATCTTCCTCACTCATTGTCCACCTTTTACATGCATATGGGGCATTTGAAAATATGGCTTGGATCACATGCACCTTAGTCCTCAAAGTAATACATTTGCACTTTAATACTTTAAAGAGGTCTTTTTGTAGAATGTTGTTGTTGTTAAGTGCCGTCGAGTCGGTTTCGACCCATAGCGACCCTGAGCAGGGTTTCCGAGGCTGTAAATCTTTACGGGAGCAGATCGCCTCATCTTTCTCCCACGGAGCGGCTGGTAGTTTCGAACTGCAGACCTTGCGGTTCGCAGCCTGATTTGTAACCACTACGCTACCAGAGCTATTAAAACCTTATGGGACATGGCTGTACTCTGACAGATATAGGGTCCCCCTGAGTCAGAATGGGCTGGATGGCAACTGGTTTGTTTTTAAGTAATTCATCTCATCAATTACACTCATATTTGACCAAACAACTGGGCATTCTAACCTAACTAACTTAACACATAAAATTAAGTATTACAGCTGCCTATAATAAATGGTGATGAGAACCCATTTATTTGACCCAAGTCTCAATGGGGTCCTGTGGAAGCCAGGAATGACTCCTGTTGCTGTTGCTGCTGCATGTCATTGAATTGGTTCCAAATCATAACGAAGGGTTTCTGAAACAGTAAATCTTTACAGCAGCACAAAGCAGCTGGTGGATTTGAACTGCTGCCCTTGCAGTTAACAACACAACATGTAACCTACTATGCTGCAAGGCCTATGAGGATTAGGCCTCTGGGATCTATCGCAAGAAAAAAATAAGAGCCCATTGTCATCAAGTTGATTTTGACTCATGTTGTTGTTAAGTGCCATCGAGTCAGCACAAACTCATAGTGACCTATGCACAACGGAACGAAATACTGCCCAGTCCTGGGCCAACCTCACAATTATTGCCACGCTTGAGCCCATTGATGCTGCCACGTTACCAATCCATCTCGCTGGGGGTCTTCCTCTTTTTCTCTAACCCTCCACCTTACCAAACATGATAAGGGATCTCTCCAAGTACCTCCTGACAATATGTCTGTAGTATGAGAGACGAATTCTGGCCATCTTGGCTTCCAAGGAGCACTCTGGTTGCACTCTTCCAACACAGATCTATTGGTTCTTTTGACAGTCCATGGTACTTTCAATAATTCTCCTCCAACACCACAACTCAAATGCATCAGTTCTTCTACAATCATTCTTATTCATTGTCCAACTTTCACATGCATATGAGGGTCAGGCACACCTTAGTCCTCAAGCAGACATCTTTGCTCTTTAACACTTTAACACTTTAAATCTTGTGCAGCAGATTTGCCTAATGCAGTACGTTGTTTGATTTCTTGACTGCTGCTTCCATGAGTGTTGATGGTTGATCCAAGAAGAATGAAGTCCTTGACAACTTCAATCTTTTCTCCATTGATAACAATGCTGTTTATTGGTCCAGTGGAGAGGATTTTTGTTTTCTTTAAATTGAGATGCAATCCATACCGAAGGCTATGGTCTTTGATCATCATTACTAAATAATTACTAAATCATTACTAAATAAATAAGTGCTCTTCACTTTCCACAAGCAAAGTTGTATCATCTGCATATCACAGGCTGTTAATGAGTCTTCCTTCAATCCTCATGCCACGTTTTTCTTCATATAACCCAGTTTCTCAGATTATTTGCTCAGCATACAGGTTGAATACGTATGGTGAAAGAATACAACCCTCTTCACACACCTTTCTTAAATTTAAACCCTTCAGTGTTCCCATGTTCTGTTTGAATAACTGCCTCTTGGTCCATGTACAGATTCCTCATGAGCACAATTAAGTGTTTTCTGGAATACACAAACTTTGCAGTGTTGTCCATAGCTTGTCATGATCCAAAAGCCTTTGTGTAGTTAATAAAGCACAGGTAAACAAATTTCTTGTATTCTATGCTCTCAGCCAAGATCCAACGGACATCAGCAATGATGCGTGTCTTCTGAATCCTCATTCTACGCGTCGTCTGAATCCAGCTTAAACCTTTGGAGGTTCTCTGTCAATGTATGCTTGCAACTGTTTCTGTATTACCTTTAGTGAAACTTTACTCACATGGGATATCAAAGATATTGTCTGATGATTTCCACATTCCATTGGGTCACCTCTCTTTGGAATGGGCACAAATATGGATCTCTTCCAATCAGTTGGCCAGATAATTGTCTTCCAAATTTCTTGGCATAGATGAGCGAGTGCCTCCAGTGCTGCCTCATTTTCTTGAAAGATTTCAATTTTTATTCCATCAATTCCCGGTGCCTTGTTCTTCGCCAAATCCTTCAATGCACCTTGGACTTCTTCCTGCAGTTTCATTGGCTCGTGATCATATGCTACCTCTTGAAACAGTTGAGTATCAACCATTTCCTTTTGGTACAGTGACTCTGTGTATGCCTTCCATCTTCTTTTGATGCTTTCTGCATCATTCAATAATTTTCCCAGAGAACCCTTCAATAACAAAAATTGAGGCCTGAATTTTTATTGAGTTCCCCCAGCTTGAGAAATACTGAGTCTGTTCTTCCCTTTTGGCTTTCTGATCCCAGATCTTTGCACATTTTGTTGTTATATTTGACTTTGTCTTCTCTAGCTGACCTTTGAAATTTTCTGTTCAGCTCTTGGACCTCCTCATTTATTCAATTTGCTTTAGCATCTCTATGCTGCGGAGCGAGTTTCAGAGTCTCTCCTGACCTCCATTTTGACCTTTTCCTTCTCTTTTGTCTTCTTAATGACATTTTACTTTCTTACTGTGTGATGTTCTTGATGTCATCCCACAACTCTTTTGGTCGTTGGTCTTTAGTGTTTAATGTATCAAATCTGTTCTTCAAATGATCTCTAAATTCAGGTTGGATATATTTAAGGTCATATTTTGGCTCTCGTGGACTTGTTTTCATTTTCTTCAGCTTCAGTCTGAATTTGCATAAGAACAATTGATGGTAAATTCCACTCATAGTGTCCCTATAAAGACAGAATACAACTTTACCTTAGGATTTCCAAGGTTGTAATCTTTATAGGCAGTTCTGGTATGGCAGTGTAGGATAAGCATTAACCACTAATCTAAAGGTTGGGGGTTCAAACCCACCAGCCACTCCTAGAAAATCCTATACAGGGTTGCTATGAGTTGGAATTGACTCGACAGCACACAACAGTAACAATCTTTACAGAAGCAGACTGCCATATCTTTCTCCCACAAAGCGGCCAGTAGGTTTGAACTGACATCCTTTTGGCAAACAGTTAAGTGCTTAACCACTGTTCCTCTAGAACTCCAGTTCATTATAAGGGAAGGGTGAATTACCTTTTTGGACATGACCTCCTTTTCTTACTTCCTCCAGATTTCTCTCTTGATGATGTCCGGGATTGTGCCAAGCACGGTTTTAAAATTCATGTGTCCATAAAAAAAGTGTCTATTGGTGCGGGTGTTTCAGTGGGACTATGCAACGCCATTCTCAAAGAAATAGAAGGTAAGTGGAAGGGGAATGTGAGTTTTTTGTTTACAATCTATTCCTCTCTATTGTCTGCCAGTCCCAGTCTTTCTTTAAGATAAAAACTGGGTATTCTGATACATATCAATTAAAACAGGAGACATTCATTGAATAAAAATGTACTATGCTGCTACTATGTGCTAAGCAAAACCAAATAAAACCTACTGCCATTGAATAGACTCTACTCATAGTGACTTTTCATAGGGCTTCCAGGATGGTAAATCTTTATGAGAGCAGAACCCCAGAAATCCTTACTGGTCACAACTCCTCATTCCCTTTGTGAGATAACTAATATTCTTACTTTGTTGTCGTTGTTGTTAGGCGCTATCCAGTTGGTACCGACTCATAGTGACCCTATGCATAATGGAAGGAAACACTACCTGGCCTTGGACCAGCCTTACAATTGTTACTACATTTGAGTCCATCACTGCTGCCATTGTGCCAATCCAACTCACTGGGTGTCTACCTCTTTTTTTTCCGACCATCCTTTTTACCAAACTTGATATCCTTCTCCAGCAACTGGTCCCTCCTGACAAAAGGTCCAAAGTATGAGAGATGAAGTCTGGCCATCCAGGCTTCCAGGGAGGGCATCCAGGGAGCATTCTGGGTGCATTTCTTCAAACACAAATTGGTTTGTTCTTTTGGCAGTACATAGTAGTTTTAATATTCTCCTCCAACACCATAGCTCAAATGCATCGATTCTTCTATGGTCTTCCTTATTCACTGTCCAATTTTCACATGCAAATGAGGTTATTGAAAATACCATGGCTTGGGTCAGGTGCATCTTAGACCTCAAATTGACATCTTTGTTCTTGAACACATTAAAGAGGGCTTGTAGAGCAGATTTCCTTAATGCACTAAGTCCTTTGATTTTTTCACTGCTGCTTCCATGAGTATTGATGGTTAATCTAAGCAAAATGAAATCTTTGACAACTTTAAACTTTTCTCAATTTATCATGATGTTATTTATTTGTCCAGTGGTAAGGATTTTTGTTTTCTTTACACTGAGGTGCAACCCATATGAAAGTCTTTGATCTTCATCAGTAAGTATTTTAAGTCCTCTTAACTTTCATCAAGCAAGGTTGTATCATCTGTATATTGAAGGTTGTTAATGAGTCTTCCTCCTATCCTGATGCCAAGTTTTTCTTCATATAATCCAGTTTCTGGGATTATTTGTTCAGCATAAAGATTGAATAAGTATGGAAAGAGAATACAACTCTGGCACTCACTTTTGTAAATTTTAAACCATTCAATGTCCCCTTGTTTTGTTCAAACAACTGCCTCTTTATCTATGTATAGGTTCCTCATGAGCACAATTAAGTTTTCTGGAATACTCTGCAGTGCTATCCATAGTTTATCATTATCAACACAGTAGAAAGCTTTGTTGTTGTTGTTAGGTGCCATCGAGTCGGTACTGACTCATAGCAACTTTATGCACAGCAGAACGAAACACTGCTCAGTCCTGGGCCAACCTCACTATTGCTGCCATGCTTGAGTCCACTGATGTTGCCACTTGGCTAATCCATCTCGTTGGGAGTCTTCCTCTTTTTCTCTGACCCTCTACCTTACCAAACATGATATCCTTTTCCAGCAACTGTTCCCTTCTGACATGTATGTCCAAAGTATGAGAGACGAAGATTGGCCATCTTGGCCTCCAAGGAGCACTCTGGCTGCACTTCTTCCAAAACTGATCTATTGGTTCTTTTGGCAGCTCGTGGCACTTTCAATATTATCCTCCAACACCATAACTCAAAAGCATCAATTCTTCTATGGTCTTTCTTATTCACTGTTTAGCTTTCACATGCATATTAGGTTATTGAAAATACCATGGTTTGGGTCAGACATACCTTAATCCTTAAGCTGACATCTTTGCTCTTCAACACTTTAAAAAGGTCTTGTGCAGCAGATTTGCCTAATGCAATACATTGTTTGATCTCTTGACTGCTGCTTCCATGAATGTTGATAGTTGATCCAAGAAGAATGAAGTCCTTGACAACTTTGATTTTTCTCCATTGATAAGAATGTTGTTTATTGGTCCAGTGGAGAGGATTTTTGTTTTCTTTACATTGAGATGTAATCCATACCGAAAGTTGTGTTCTTTGATCTTCATCAGTAAATGTTTTAAGTCCTCTTCACTTTCAGCAAGCAAGGTTGTATCATCTGTATATCACAGGTTTTAATGAGTCTTCCTCCAATCCTGATAGATTGGGTTCTTCATATAACCCAGCTTCTCAGATTATTTGCTCAGTTTACAGGTTGAATAAGTATGGTGAAAGAATACAAGCTTGTCACACACCTTTCTTAATTTTAAAACATTCAGTGTTCCCATGTTCTGTCCTTGGTCCAGGTACAGATTCCTCATGAGCACAATTAAGTGTTCCAGAATACTCATACTTCACAATGTTATCCATATCTTGTCATGATCCACACAATCGAAAGCCTTTGCGTAGTCAATAAAGCACAGGTAAACATCTTTCTGATATTCTCTGCTTCCAGGCAAGATCCATCGGACATCAGCAATGATATCACTCATTCCACGGCCTCTTCTGAATCCGGCTTGAACATCTGGAAGCAAATTCAAACTGAAGCTGAATAAAATTAAAACAAGTCCCCGAGATCCAAAATAAGACCTTGAATATATCCCACCTGAATTTAGAGATCATCTGAAGAAAAGATTTGATACATTAAACACTAAAGACCGAAGAGCAGAAGAGTTGTGGGATGACATCAAGAACATCATTCATGAAGAAAGCAAAAAGTCATTGTTGTTGTTGTTGTTGTTGTTGTTTTATGTGCCATGAAATTGGATCCAACTCATAGCGACCCTGTACAGGGTTTCCGAGGCTGTAAATCTTTACAGGAGCAGAAAACCTCATCTTTCTCCCGCGGAATAGCTGGTAGTTTTGAACTGCTGACCTTGTGGTTCACAGCACGATTCATAACAACTATACTACCAGAGCTTCTTGAGAAGACAATAACGAAGGAAAAGGTCAAAATGGATGTCAGAAGAGACACTGAAACTTGCTTTCCAGTGTAGAGATGCTAAAGCAAATGGAAGAAATGAGGAGGTCCAAGAGCTGAACAGAAAGTTTCGAAGATCAGCTCAAGAAGATAAAGCCAAATATTACAACCAAATGTGCAAAGATCTGGAATCAGAAAGCCAAAAAGGAAGAACACACTTAGCATATCTCAAGCTGGGGGAACTGAAGAAAAAAATCAAGGCTCAACTTTTGTTATTGTAAGATTCTCTGGGAAAATTATTGAATGATTCAGAAAGCATCTAGAGAAGATGGAAAATGGAAAGCTTTAGCTTAGTCAATAAAGTACAGATAAACATCTTTCTGGTATTCTCTGCTTTCAGCCAAGATTCATCTGATGTCAGCAATGATATCCTTCATTCCACGTCCTCTTTTGAAACTGGCTTGAACCTCTGGAAGCTTTCTGTCAATGTATGGTTGTAGCTGTTTTTGAAATTATCTTTAGCAAAGTTTTGCTTGTATGGGATATTAATGATATTGTCCTATGACTTCTGCATTCCTTTGGGTCATCTCTCTTGGGAATGGGCACAAATATTGATCTCTTCCAGTCAGTTGGCCTGGTAGTTGTCTTCCAAATTTCTTGCATAGATGAGTGAGTATCTTCAGTGATTTGTCAGTCTGTTGAAAAATTTCAATTTTCATTCCATCAGTTCCTGGAGCCTTGTTGTTTGCCACCGTCTTCAATGTACCTTGGACTTCTTTCAGTATCGTTAGCTCTTGATCACATGGTACCCTTGAAATGGTTGAACATCAACCATTTTTTTTTTTTTTTTGACACAGTGACTCTGTGTGTTCTTTCCCTCTTCTTTAATACTTTCTGCATCAATCAATATTTTACCAAGAGAATCCTTCAATATTGAAAGTTGAAGCTTGAATTTTTTCAGCAGTTCCCTCAGCTTGAGTAATGCTGAGCATGTTCTTCCCTTTTGTTTTTCTAACTCCATATCTTTGCACATTTCATTATAATGTTTGACTTTGTCTTCTCAAGATGCCTTTTGAAATATTCTATTCACCTCTTTTACCTTCCCATTTTTTCCATTTGTTTTAGAATTTCTATGCTGGACAGCAAGTTTCAGAGTCTCTTCTGACATCCATTTTCTTTTTTGTCTTCTTAATGACCTTTTTCTTTCTTCCTATATGATGTTCTTGATTCATCCTACACCTCTTCTGGACTTTGGTCTTTAATGTCTAATGTTCTTGAGATGATATCTAAATTCAGATGGGATATATTCAAGGTCCTATTTTGGCTCTCATGGACTTGTTTTCATTTTCTTCAGCTTCAGCCTGAACTTGTATTTGAGCAATTGATGATCAGTTTCACAGTTTACAACTGGCCTTGTTTTTGTTGATGATACGGAGTTTTTCCATGGTCTCTTTTTTTCTTTATTTTCACAAAACTTCTACCTTTACAGTTGTGGCAGTCACAATTAATTATGATAATATTTACTTATTATTGAATCATAAGAATTCTATCCCCATCTCTTTTCACCAGACCCCCTCTAAACAAGATGAAAACTATTCAGTGGGGACTCTACCTTCCCCTGCACACTCTTAAACTAAACTACCTCTTGAAACTTGTAAGCCAGTCACTTCATTCCTTTATCACTCCCTCATTTTATTTAGCCAATGTCTAAGTTGCCCATCCCTACACTGTCTCTTTCCACAGATGTATTCAATTTGACTTCTGTGTATTGCATCTGGTGAGGTCCATGTGTATAGTCTTCTTTCATGTTTTTTTTTTTCAAAAAGATATCTTCAATGAAGAAGTCACTGATCTTTCAAAATTTTATCATGCAATCTCCAGCATGATTTCTATCACGAAGGCCATATTTTCCAACCACTGATCCTTCCTCTGTTCCCAGTCTTTGCATTCCAATTGCCTTTTATTATCAACACATCTTGATTGCATATTTGATCAATTTCTGATTTTAAAAACTGGTAGAATTATTCAATTTCATCATCACTGGCTTTAGTGTTTGGTGCATAAATTTGAATAATAGTGATATTAACTGGTCTTCCTTGTAGGCATAAAGATCACAGACAGCATTGTGCTTCATGACTGATCTTGATATGTTCTTTTTGATGATGAATAGGACACCATTCATCTTCAATTTGTCATTCCCTACATAGAAAACAATGTGATTGTCAGATTCCAAATGGCCAATACCAGTCCATTTTGGCTCCCTACTGCCTAGGATACTGATATTTATGTGTTTCATTTCATTTTTGACAATTTCCCATTTTCCTAGAATCATACTTCATACATTTCATGTTCTGATTATTAATGGGTGTTTACAACTGTTTCTCTTAAGTTTGAGTTGCACCCCATCAGCAAATGAAGGTCCTGAAGGCTTTATTCCATTTGTGCCATCACAATCAACTCTTCTTTGAGGAGGCAGCTGTTTCCCAGTCGCATTTTGAGTGCCTTCCAACCTGAGGGGCTTATCTTCCGGCTCTATATCTGATAACATTCTGGTGCTCTTTATCATGTTTCAATATTCAATATTCTGTTTCTGACAGTGTTCGACTGTTATTCATAAGGTTTTCAGCAACTAAATATTTGAAAGTAGTCTGTCTCTCCTTCTTCCTAGTTTGTCTTCATCTGGAAGCTCAGTTAAAACCTGTCCACCATCGGTGACCATGCTGGTATTTGAAATGCTCATGGCATAGCTTCCAGCATCACAGCCACACACAAGCCACCACAGTACAAATTAACAGACAAGTAGTGGATTCTTACTTTAGTGTTGAACATTTTCTTTTTTCTGTGTAGTTTTGCCACCTGTCTGTATCACTAAACAATGTGATTCAGTATAGTTTGTTTTTTAAATTTTATATGAATGAGATGTAATATTTTCAGTGTTGTTTATTTCATTCAGCATTATGTTTTGAAGATTTATTCATGTTTTTGTGTGTGGCACTGTGGGTTAATGTGCTGGACTCCAAATTCAGTTAGAACTACATGCTTCCAGTTCAAGCTCACCAATTGCTCCTAGAAAACCCTTTACAAGATCACTGTGAGTCAGAACCATCCGACAGAACTTAATAACATAGTTAGTTCAAGGAGAGTCCTAGTGGTGTAATGTTTCAATGCTCAGCAGCTAACCAAAAGTCAGTGGTTCAAACCCACCTGTAGTTCCTCAGGAACAAAGGCATGATAATCTGCCACTGTAATGATTACAGCCTAGGAAACTCTATGGGGTAGTTCTACTCTGTCATATAGGGTTACTCAATGGAACACAACATAGTTCATTTCAATCAGTGCATAGCATTGTATTGTATGAGTGTACTACTGTTCATTCTACTATTGATAGACACTTGGATCACTTCCTGTTTCAAGCAACTATAATGGATGCTGCTATGAACATTTTTACACACTCATCCAGTTCATATGCACAAGTGTTTTTTCAGGTATGTACCTGGGAATAGAATTGCTGTGATGCAGAGTATGTACTTATTTTTACTTATCAGAATAATTCCAAGATAACAAATTAGTTGCACCAATTTACACATTAACCAGCAGTATACAAGATTCACTTTTTTATGATACTTAGGTATTTCAGACTTAGATCTGAGTCGCCACTTTACACAGCTTCCTTGGCATTGGACACATAGATGAATTAGAATGGATATAACTCAATGATGTGACTGGGGGCTTAGTGGACAGCCCCATAGGAAATAAAAACATTAATCATTTTATAGGAGCCACAAAGTAAGGTGTATCTAGCACATCCAAGTCCAGTCTTTATGAATTTTTCCACCTTTGTCATACAATATAAAGAAATGATATAGCTTAGTGCTTGGGCAGAGCTATTTGGGTAAGCTCCTTCATGTTATGTGCCTCAGATTTCCTATCTGTAAAGTGAGGATCATCATATAATTCCTATTTCATAGTTAAGGTTTTAGAAGCTCATGCATGTATAGCACTTAGATGAACAATAAAAGATCAATTATTATTAGTTATTGCTGAGCCATTTATTCCTTACATAGATTCAAAGCATCCACTTTGTAAATAATGCAAAACAAACAAACAAAAAACACATTGTATAATTGATTTTCCCAAGACGACAAGGCTAGAAAAAGAACTGAGATTCATGTCTGGCAGAGTGTGCAGAGGGACTGAGTTGGAGGAATGAGCTGAGTTTTCAGTGACACAAATCTACAATACTCCACACCCAGGATGAGGTGAGGCGAAAACTATTTGACCAAAAAGTGGTGATATTGAAATTAGGCAGATCTTGTTTAAAATTTGGTTCTATGATCTATTAGCTTTATAGGCCCAAGCAACTGTCTTACAATTCCAGTCATGAGTTTCATCATTTATAAAGTAGAGCTAATAATGGCTGTCACAGAATTTCTGTTAGCATAAAACAAAATATTATATCTGTCATCTTCATCTTCTATCATCTATCTATCTATCTATCTATCTATCTATCTATCTATCTATCTATCTCTGACAATGAATTGATTGATCAATAGGTTAATCCTTCATAAACTCACTCAGTGACGGGAACTTACCAATGCTGAAAACAAACATTTTTTTCTTTGCCCTTCCCTAACTTGTGTTATGTATGATTGGGTGAGTTTCCATTTTGCTCCTTGGCCATGTCTATCCTGGACACAGGGGTGCTCTTTGTCCATCCCACATCTTCAGGCCTGAGGTCAGTGAATATTATGGTAGCATCATTGGTTGAGTTTCAGTAAATTCCAAGGTACTACAGTGGATCTCTCCATGACATGCCAGCTGTCTGTATCTATTTCAGATAGAAACAAGAGAAAGACCATGGTGGAAGATTTGGTGGTCCTTGTACGAGGAGGGGCAAGTGAGCACATCACCACTCTGGCATACAAGGAGTTGCCAACAGCAGAACTGATGCAAGAATGGGGAGATGCAGTGCAGTACAACCCAAGTGCTGTCAAAGTTAAGGTAGGTACTTTACCCATCTGTTCCTTTATTTGAAAAACAGCTCCTAGAGGCCTACTGTGATCCAGGGTAAAGGATGCATACAACAGTAAGATTCAAACCTTAATCTTGGAAATGTACACTATGTTGTTGTTGTTAAGTACGTTCTAGTCTGTTAACTCATAGTGACCCTGTATAGGGTTTCCAAGGAGCAACTGCTGAACTTGAACCACCGACCTTGAGATTCAAACCTACCTTGCAGTGCAGCACATTAACCCACAACACCACACCAGGACTCCATGTACACTATCATGGAAAACACATCTGAAGTACACCACTCAGCACCACCTAGAGCTCCCTGACTCCATCTCACTTGACCCTCTAGTTGCTAAAGAAATTTACTATCCACTTGTAGCCTTATTAAATTAGTATTCTTTCCATTTAATCATAGATTCACACTTCATTTATTCACTCAAATGGTCATTCATTCAATGAACAAATAGTTGTCAAATTCCTGCTATGGTATAGAAACTAAGGTACTGAAGGAAAACAGAAGAAGATGCAAGGATGAAAAATAAAGTCTATGTTGAAAAATAAGATCCATATATGCACAGGTATCTCACAGGACAGGAGAAAATGCCATGGTAACAATGAACAAGTTTTGAGCACCTACTATATCTATTACACTCTGCCCAAGCCTTTAGGAATGTAATTTCATCTAATTTATACAACACATTCATATTCGTATCTCCATTTTATGGCTGGTAAATATCGAGGGTTAGAGGGGATATATCCTACAAGAGTCTCTAATAGGTCTGGACCTGAGCCCTGGACCTCTTTCTCCCCCTCCAGACTTTCCTGTGGGTTTGGTGAATAAAACATAATGATCCCAACCACCTGTCACCCAAACAAGAGGAATTTTGCAACCTTAAACTAAAAAGACATCATTTACAGCAGGACTGTCAAAAACATTAGCAATGGCTAGTCCTTGCCTGTGGGGACTTCAGCATAGTGTCCATATCACATCTTACATCATCTTCCTCTTGCCACTTCTTGTCTACCCCCTAGAGGTTTCCCCTTGCAGCCAAGGGAAGGAATTGAGGGATTGCAGCTCTGATAGGAAACTCTGCAATTCTAAACTAGAGTGTTTTGTTGGTGTGTCAAACTCATAGTTTCTGCTGAACAAGAAGACTGACATTCAAATCTTCCTCTCCCCCACTTGCTTGGGAGTGACACATGGAAAACAATTGCTGCCAATCATTAAGAATGATAGAGTCAGTCATGGCTTGCAGATGACTCCAGAGAAATCTGGAATTGATTAATGCCATGGTAACTTTGGTTGGCATCACTTATGGACATGAGAGAGAACACAGTTTGAAGAAAATTTATCAAATAAAAAGATCTGTGGTCTTTATTTTTTACTGAAACATTTTAACTGATTTAAAAAAGTAAAAAAACAGCAACTGTGAATGAAGGTATTACACTGGTTACTCATGTTGTATATGCTAGTCTGGGCACTGAGAATGTCAGGTGGCAAACAGGTGATGTGCAGGGTAGGTATATGGTGTATGTGACATGTATATGTATGTATGTGTGTATGGCTTTTCTATCCAAGTCTTCTTAAGTCCCACCAAGTGATTGGGTGGGCACATGAAAATTAGGCTGGGAATGGTTACTTTTGTCCTCCAGCTAGGTTTAAAAGGAGGCATCTCAGAAGCAGAGATGTTAGATCCTAGGACCATCCAGAAGGAAGAACATGAGTGGAGCATGAAATCCTTACCTAGAAAAATGGCGACAGCAGAGGCAATGGCAGAAGCAGTGGCACGAAGAGCGAGAGTGGCTGCGGGCTTTAGGTCCATGGACTGAGGCAGAGGCCAAGAGGCTACATAGCTGAAAAACCGATGACAAGAGTGAGGCAAACCTGCCGTATGGCAGAAAACACGTGTTCCTGACTCGAGAACTGCTGCATCCTGAGTCAGTTTTGATCCTGACTTGTACCCTGTTCACCTTCTTAATAAGAAAGAGAATGAAAGAGGTTTTTTTTTTTTTTTGTTTTTTTGTTTTTTTTTTTTTGTGTGTGTGTGTGTGTGTGCATGAGAAAGTGAGAGAAATTGTGAGTATATGAGAAAATCTCGTGTAGGGTGTGTGTGTGTGTGTGTGTGTGTGTGTGTGTGTGTGTGTGTATCTGGGCAGATTATCATGCTAATCACCTCAAACAGGTCTTGCAAGCCATGTCAGAGGTTTACTGCTTGGTTAAAAGCACAGAGTCCTCCCAGCATGATGTAGTGGAAACATGATATGGACTATCAGGGTGGTGCTATGAAAGGGCTGTATGGGCAGAAATTGGAAATTCACAGGAGAATCAGAGGTGTTTCCAAGAGACTTACAAGTGTGGGAGATGCAAGCTTGTTGAAAGGTTTTATGCATGTCATCTTCATCTCCTTAACCTAAGTTGGAAGCATACATTTTGGGCATTTTAGTCTTTGATGCACTTTTTCTGGCAAGAGAAAGCTACAGATGGCTTCACATGCTCTCGGAATAATTCTCTGTAGAGTTAGTTTACTAGGAAGCTGGAATGGCTATTGCTTTTTCAGGACTATGAAGCCCACTAAATAAACAATTCTTAGACACAGAAAGTTGGCCAAAACTTGTGTACATAAACTAGTCATCAAGATCAAGATCTGAAACAGGATTTCTATGGAAGCTAGAGAGGCAGAAAAAGAAAGAGTGAGAGAACAAAGAAGAATCCCTTGAGGTTGTCTATTGGTAAACTTTGGAAATAAAGAAGTGGCTCTTTATTCAGTGAAAAGTTTAGATAACACAATGGCTATATGAGGGACCTCCAAAGAGTTCACTGAAAAATGGAATGGAAAGATACTAGAATTTTCCTATGAATTTTTTGAAGCTCCCTCATACAAAGAGATTTTGAACACAAAAGAAGATGACATTTCATTAAAGATGAAGAAGAAAAGCATGCATCTAAAATATAGACACATAGAAGAAAGACTTTAAATTGACTGGCTTTGTGATTATATTAAAATTCAAGAAAATGAAGAATTTAAGAAAGAAGAAAATAGAAACTGAAATGCTTAGACAATAATCAGATGAAAATTAAAGTGGCTGAATATATGAAACCAAAGGCATAGTAGCAAAATTAAAACCTACATTGGAAACTATAAAGAACAGAACTGACACTGCAGAAAATTGAGTCAGTGGTGTGAAAGTTATAATAAAAATGTTCTGGTAATACAGAAGCAAAAGACAAAGAGATTAAAATGGTAAAATACAAGAAATATGATGGACATGAGTACAGAAGTGGAAATCTAAGTCCCAGGACTTCTTCCTGAGAAAGAGACAAGATGAAATCTGAAGACACATTAATCAAGTGCTTAGTAAGAGCAACTTTCCTGAGCTGATAATGCAAAATCAACAGTTCATTAACAAGTAGGCAAAGTTAATGAAAACAAAGCAAGACAGAAACAGGGCCTGGTGAATTTTTTGTTTTGTTTTTTTTTACTTTTAGGAACAAATACGTCCCATGGAAATGAGTCAACTGGTCTTAGAATTCTATACAACACTCAATGCCTGAAGATTATAAAGTGACTACCACAAAGTCTTATAGGAGTGAGGGTGAAGAATTCCAAATGACATTTGAAGATATTAAAGGAGTCAGAAATAAGATTGCCACATTTAGCAAATAAAAATGCAGAATGGTGGTAGTGGTGATGGTGGTGTGCTGTGGAGTCAGTTTCAACACATAGCGATCCTCCACATGATTTCCGAGGCTATAAATCTTTACAGAAAGCCTTGTCTTTCTCCCATGGAATGGCTGGTAGTTTTGAACTACTGTTCTTGAGGGTAGAAACCCAAGTTGTAACTACTATGCTACATTTATCAAATAAAAATACAGTTAAATTTGAATTTCAGATGAACAATGAATACTTTTTAGTGTAAGTCTCTCCCAAATGGAGTCCCTGGATGGAGTAAATGGTTAACAAACTTGGCTGCTAACCAAAGTTAGAGGCCCAAATCAGCCCTGGGGTAGCTTAGAAGGAAGACCTGTGGATCTACTTACAGTTCTACTCTGATGTTCAGGGAGTTGGAATTGACTCAATGGCAAATTGATTTTTGACTTATCTTTGAAAAAGTGCAGGGGAGATACATTAAAATATAGTCATGGTTAATCTGAAATTAAAAGGAGCTCTGGTAGCGTAGTAGTTATGAATCGGGCTGCAAACCACAAGGTCAGCAGTTCGAAACTACCAGCTGTTCTGTAGGAAAAAGATAAGGCTTTCTGCTCCTGTGAAGACTTACAGCTTCGGAAACCCTGTACAGGTTCGCTGAGTTGGAACTGACTCCACGTCACATAAATAACCAAACAACCATCTGAAATTTAACTTTAACTAGGTGCTCTGTATCCAACTAGCAAGAGTCTATCATCTACATGCATTCCTGTACTAGTCAGAATAGCTGAATTGTGATTTGGGACCCAGACTGTAGAATCATTATCTAGAGTGTTGGTATTATCCAAGGTAGAAGGAACGAAGATGATAGTGAGTTGTCACACAAAGAGGTCAGGATAGCCTAAATGTAACCAGCCTCCTTTTCTCACCTGCTTAGTACAACAGATGTTTAAGTCTCAATTACACATGTCCAAGATGTATTGGCAAGGGGGTTTCGCTTAATGTAGTCATTCAGGGATCCAGGAGGATGAAGGCTCGGTATTGTCCTGTGATTCCAAGATTACCACAACAGTGTAAAGAAGCAAGGTGAATATCTCTGCCTCAAAGTTTCAACCAGAAAGTGATGCCCCTCAAGCCACGATGCAATTCTGCCTTAGCTATCATTGGCCAGGAATAATACTATTCTGCCTCAACAGTCCAGAAAGGCAAACAAGTTGAAATATTTGGTAGGTTGTTTTTGTTAAGTGCTGCTGAGTCAGTTCTGACCCATAGCAGCCATGTATAGGGTTTCTGAGGAGCAACTGGTGTGCTTGAACCACTGACTTTGTGGTTCAAAACAAC